GTCTGGAACCTCTTACTACTATAAGCGTTACCTTTGTAGGAACTGTTCTCCCTCAGTATGTTTATTTAGACAACTGGCGTTACAAAGTTTTCACTTATATTCCTCCTCTCATGCAATGTTTTAAATGCATGAAATTTAGACACAGTGCCAAAGTATGTAGAAACAATCAGGTTTGTTCAAAGTGTTCAGGTGGTCATTCCTATAAGGAATGCTCAGCTGAATTTTTAAAGTGTGTTAACTGTGGAGGAGACCACTTGGCAGTATCCAGGTTTTGTCCTCAAAAAAGCAGCTCAGATTAAAAAACATGAAAATAATTATTCATCTAAAATGTATTCAACTGTATTATTGTCAAGTGATTTTCCTCCGTTACCTAGTGATAAATCAGTTGTAAAGTTGGCTCACAATAAATTAGCTTCACCTACTGTCCAACCTAAGAAAAAAAAGTTATCACAAAATTCATCAGATAGTTCAATTCCAGTCCAGTCTGCTCCTCCTAATAGTGGTTCCTATGATCAGCTCATTAAAGATGATCAGTTCTTGAGTAAAATTATCAAAACTTTAGTTATGTTAGGCAATTCTAATACAGCAAACACAACTGCACACATTAAGGATATATTAATACAAAACTTAACAAAATAATGGATTATTTACGATTAATGCAACATAACATACAGAGTATCAATAATAAAAAAACACTTCTTAAATCTTTATTATATGATAATAAAATAGATGTGTGCTTGCTAAATGAAACTTGGTTAAAAGATTCTGGTCTGCCTTTTTTATATACCTGGTTATATATTTGTTGGAAAAAATGCTAAAAATGAGCATGGAGGTGTAGGTATTTTAATAAAAAAATGATATTAAATTTAAGGTCTTAAAAACTACTTTCTATCAAAATATTCAATTTATAGCTATTTCTATAATAACAGGATGTGGTCCTGTCTCAGTGCTCTGTGTCTACTGTCCACCAAATAATAGCTCAATTAGTTTGATTAATTTGAGAAAGATTATATTGCAATTACCCAAGCCTTGTCTTGTATCTGGTGATTTTAATGCTCACAATATAGCTTTTGGTTGTGATACTACCAATTCAAGAGGTCGTGAATTATTTGATATATTTGATGATGCTGATTTATGTATTTTAAATTCTGGTGACCCTACTACTATTTCTAGACCTGGTAATAATGCATCAGCCATTGATGTTACTTGTGTTAGCCCTGATATTGCACCACTTTGTGAGTGGTATGTCGGTGATGACTCTTTAGGGAGCTATCATTTACCTACTTTTGTTAACATCATTACCTCAACTCAAAAATATACAGTACAAGAGTCTATACATAAGTATTTATATAATAAAACAAACTGGAATATGTACAATGATAAATCCAAAGATATATTTGATAAATTTTCTCCTTCAACAATTGATCCTTTAGTTCAATATGATGAATTTTCTAAATTACTACTTAGTTTAAAAGAAAACTGTGTTCCATTGTTAAAGCATAAATCTTCTAGTAAAAAAGTCTGCTCCTCCAGCTCCTTGGTGGAATGATACTTGTGCCGAGGCTGTAACCAAATCAAGAGAAGCGTTAGCTAATTATAGACGTAATATGACAATGGACAATTATATAGAATATAAGAAAATAGATTCGAGGAAAAAAATTATTATAAAAATGGCTAAGAAAGACAGTTGGAAAAGTCTTTGTTCGTCTTTTTAATAGATTCACTCCAGTATCCCGAGTGTGGAATTTTATTAGAAGATTTAAGAGAATTAACATTAATAGAAATGTGTCCAAAAATGATGAGTGGATAGCAAGTTTTTTAGAGAAGTTAGGGCAATCTAGTAATAACAACGATAATATTTCTGGTTTATTCGAATTTAATGATGGAAGTCAGTGGAGCAAGTTTCTACTTAACTCTTTTTTGTTTTGAAGAACTTGACATGGCTTTGTCTTCTGTGGTCTTGACGATATTCCTTATATTATGCTTCAAAATCTACATGTTTCTGTAAAACATATTCTACTTAATATTTTAAATTCGCTTTGGTCTCAGCAATTGATTCCAGAATCCTGGAGGTTGCAATGTGTCATACCAGTGTTAAAACCTGACAAACCCAATGATCATTTTAATTCGTACAGACCCATTTCTCTTACATCTTGTGTAGGGAAATTGTTTGAGCAAATGATTAAGATTAGACTGGACTATTTTGTTGAAAACCAGAAACTTATTCCTTCTTGTCAGTTTGGATTCAGAAAAGGCAAAAGTGCAGCAGAAAGTTTTATAGCTTACCTGACTGATATGAAGAAGTGTTTGTTATCAGGTTCTACTGCAATTTGTGTTTTCCTTGATGTTCAGGGGGCATATGATAATGTAGATCTTCACCAATTAATTAAGGTGCTATATTCTTTGGGCTTCCCAGGAAAGCTTTTAAAATGGATTTTCCATATGTATTATGGTCGTTCTTTATACATTAAATACAATAATGTTTTTCATGGTCCAAAATTAGCATTCAAGGGGTTGATGCAAGGGTCTTCTTTATCTCCAATCCTGTATAACCTTTATACTTCACAAATATATACATATGTGACTGAATCTGTAAAAATATTACAATTTGCTGATGACATCTTAATATATAGTGTAGGCAGTAATTTACAGGTTACTCAAGCAAAAGTTAATTCAGCTTTATGTCAACTTAACTACTATTATACTGAGATACTTAAATTAAATATAAATAGTAGTAAAAGTTCAGTTTTAGCTTATGGTATTGATACTAATGTAAATGTTAAGTATAACAATAATTTAATCCCTCAAAATAGCGAAAAAAAGTTTCTTGGTGTAATTTTTGACACTAAATTAAAGTTTACCAAACACATTGACTATATTTGTAGTAGAGCTTTGAAAGGTATCAATATTTTGCGGTCCTTAGCAGGAACTTTTTGGGGTTCTGATCCAAAAATTCTTTGTTTATTATATAAAAGCTTAGTACGTAGTCATTTTGATTATAGTTGTCTGGCATATATGAATATTAGTCCTGTATTATTAAAAAAGCTTGATGTTATCCAAAATATTGCTCTTAGAATTGTTACTGGTGCAATGCGTACCACTCCTATCAATTCTATGGAGGTTGAGTCATGTGTAGAACCACTATGTATTCGGCGAGTATTAATTGCTGAAAAATTTTGCCTGAAAGTGATAACTTCTCAGAATGATGTTCTTCTTCCAAAACTTTCTTATTCTATAACTATCACTAATACACCAGATTTGCCTTCAAGTATAACAGCGACTAATGTTCTCAATAACCAGATCCCTGAATTATTGGGAATTATGAGCTTTATGACTGATTTATCTGATAATATGTACAAATCTGAACTATGGCCTGTATATCTCTGTAAATATAAAGCTCTTATGTGTAAATTAAATATAGATATGTCCAGTGTAGTAGATAATATAGACTTTCTGGATTATTGCTGTACCAAGCCTAACAGTTACAAAGTCTACACTGATGGGTCTAAATCTTCATCTGCAGTGAAATCGGGTTACTATGATCCTCAGGCTAAAACCTCAAAATGTTTTATGTTAAGTAATACTTGCAGCATATTTACAGCTGAAGCTTATGCTATCTATCAAGTTGTATTGTACTTACAAAGTTTACAAAATAACGATAACTACATGGAGTTCCTAATAATTTCAGATTCAAAAAGTGTGTTAATGGCTTTAGACAAATGTCATACTTATTATAGAAATAATTATTTATTGTATAAAATTAGAGAAGCATTGATATCTTTGGATACTCCAGTAACATTTAAATGGGTGCCCTCTCATAGGGGTATCAAGGGAAATGATATTGTAGATGGTATCGTCAATTCTAATTATGATGAGGATCATAGTATTACATGCAGAGTTCCTTTTACGGATTTTCTTTTCGACTTAAAACAAAGAAGTCGCAAGTTATGGGAAAGCTATTGGAAATTATCCTCACAGCATAAAGGTAGTTGGTATGCAGAGATCCAAAAGGAACTCCCATGTAAACCTTGGTATGATAAATACAAAGGAGCCAATGAACGTAAATTTATAACCATTATTAATCGTTTGAGGTTTGGCCACTGTCAGACTCCAAGCCATTTATTTCGTTTTAAAATTATAAATAATAACAGATGTACATACTGTGGAGGAAATGAGGCCGACTTATCCCACCTCATCTTGAGTTGCCCGACCTTTAAATTTCAACGATTAATACTAGTAACGGATATTATGAAGTTGATGGATTTTGATGAGAATAATCGGACTAAACTTGGAAATTCTTTAGCAAATAACCCGACAAGATCAGTTTTAGACTCATCAGTCACTGCAAATGGTAGTCATCAATGTCAACCATCACAAATAGAAATTCCCCGCCGTGTCCAAGATTTACTGAAATGTCCAGTTCTATTCAAAGCTATTTACTATTATATAAAAAACACAGTTGAGAAAATTTAAAGCTCACCATTGTTTTATATTGATTGTATTTTATGTTAAGTTAGTATAGTTATTTGTGTAAGATATTTTGTTATACCTTTTTTTTAAAGTGCCAATGGACTTTGTATCCGGCTAATAAATAAAAAAAAAAAAAAAAACCCATTTCGTGCGTCGTCATTTTCATTTCAATTGCGAAATTTATTAATTCCGTCATACAAGCGCGGCCGTCAGTTGGCTTGTGTTTTGTGTATATTTTGTTTAAAAACTATTTAACAAATGGCAAAATACTTTAATTTTAACAATTAGATGTTAATATTATATTATGTGTACATAAGAATTATGTAATATTATTTATGAAAAAGTTAATACTGAGATGTGTTATGTTTTGGCGGCATTACTTTAATGCTACCGAAATAGATCTCCTTGTGTTATAATATATAAATGTTCTAGTGCATAAATAAATGCTCCAGTAAAATTCAAGGTTTCTCATAAGAAATATGTTTAAGTGATTTCTGCGTTTATAGTGATTTTAAACCATTGGCCTAATAATGGAGAATCCGACCGTTAGTGAATTGCGGTCAAGGTCCCGGTCTAAGACACCCTTCCTAAGATCGAGCTGTGATCGTGAAAACTGCGTAGAAAGTGAGGAGCATACACATCAAAAAACAGGACGCAGAACACCTATTAAAAGAAGCACACCTATCAAGTAATTATTGCTTATATTTTATTTCTTACCATATCTGTTAAAACTAATATCAAATCTACTATTAAAATTCTTCAATAGTATTTTTAATAGTATTTACTTTCAATATGTTATTCTTAACTAATGTGTATTATATAAAAATATAAACAAATACATTTCCTCAACTGATAAGGAGCTGTTATCAATTACAATCAACATGTATGACTAATATCTAATAAGTCATATTCACATAAACTAATATTTCTATCATAGATGTAGATTCATTAATTGACATTAATTCATATTGTTGATATGTTGAGTTGTATGAGTTGTTGAACAGATCCAACAAGTATATGAAGTCAGTTAAAAACTTGTTGCTTAAACCCTTTTGTTGGTACTTGATGATGACAGAATCACTAAAATAAATAAAAATCAACAGCATATGTTAAAATTTCGTAAGGTTATTTACCACAATGATGTCATAAACATTGAAGGCCAATGTAAGGCCATTCATGGTGTAATACTTGTATTTTGGTACTATCTGTAAAGACTTGTTTATCTAAAAGATTAAACAACAAATAAATTGTTGGCTGAAGTTTCTTATTCTAATAGTTAAAATTTATTAGTGTTATCATTATTGATAACATTTTTAATTTATCAACAATTTTAGTAGATAAAGTGTAATTGACGCAGGATTTTAATTTAATTCATGTTTCAGAATAACCACCTTAAATCTAGAAACAAAACAAGTTGAGAATAATTTATATGCATATATGGCATAATTTTTATAATGAAATGAATAAACTATTTATCTGTAAATTGAATTGGCGGGAAATTCTTTTAAAATATATAATGGAAGTTAAATACAGTGTAAACTCTATATAGCAATGCTGAATGGAATGCATATTTTTTGTCATTATTGAGAGGAGTCATGACCAAACATTGTTGTATAGAAAACAACCAAACCAACCAAAGTCAAGTTAATTCACAGAGTTTCATTTTATATAAAATGATGTTACTCTGCAATTTAATAATTGTGTTAAATGTAGTTTAATTTGTTTTGTTGAGTTTGCCTTTAAGTATAACATTTAAAGAGGTGTAGCAGGTTAATTTGTTGCTGATAAGCTGTTATCAAAGCTAATTATACTTTCATTGCCATTTTGCATACAGCATTGGCATTTACATTTAAATTAAATGCTTATTCATGTTGAAATAAATTTGCAAGTTTGATCTTTATTTGATAAAATTAGTTTGGAGAAATTTTACTAACTAGTAGCTATTTCTGTCCTAAAATTGTAATTTCATTTATTTTATATAGATATATGATCATCATAATAGCAGTAATACTTTATTCGTATATATGCATGCAAATAACTAATTCTGTAGTAAATATATTACTATGGTTCTCTCTGCTTTGTAACCAAAAGTAATCAAATCAACCAAAGCATAAAGTTTTATGCTTAGAATCATACCCAGAACCTTTTCATAGTATGTTTTTCTATATGCTACAGGCCTATTCCAAATTATTAACTAAACTGTTCTGAATAGTTGTGTTGCTATACTTTTTTGTTTTGCTGATGAATGAATACTAGCAAATAATAATCTATGTTATACAAACATAAGTCAGGCAACCAGCAGTCTGAAGGTAGCATTTTATCCAAGTAATTGTTTATAGGCAGCTACAGCCCCCATCAAAAAAAGGCAGCATAGAAACAGTGCAAGAACAAGATGAAACCCCACCAGCCCATCGCACAAGGCAGACTACTAAAACTGAAAAACTTGTTAAAACATCAGACTATTCTTCTGAAGAGAGTCTGGATAGACTTAAGGCCAATAAAAAAGAGATTTATCAGGTAAATTAATTTATTTATACCATAAGCAATTAATCAAACTTAAGAAATGCTGCCAATTTTTTTTTTAAACTCTTGCTTTGAATATGCCAAGACTTGTATCTGATATGAACTATGTTGATAGAGTCTACACAGTTCAGTGGATCCATAGCTTAATAGAACACAAATTAAATATGAGAATTTATGGACCAATTTTGATTGATACCATTACACTAACAAAGTTACTTTGCAAAAATATAGTTTCATAGTAGTATTTGCTCAAAAAAGATAATACCACATAATCTAATAATACTTTTTCACATTAACAATAAATATTTATAACTAAATTCATAATACCAATCTGTTTTATAATCACTTCTCATACTCTTCAAGAAAATTAACACGAAACTGTCGAGTTATATTGAAAACATAACTAGGTTGTTTACTCAGCAAAAATGTAACAAAACAAAATTAAACAAGCAGGTGCTTTAATAGCATCTGGTAACTTGATATACTATTCAAAATTCAAGGTTAATGTCAATAAAACTGCATATTATTCTCCGATGTCCTTATAAGTCGTAGATGTCAATTCATTGAGTCGTTAATACTATAATTTACCTCTTGGCGTGCTTAGCATAATCTAATATGTGTTGGCTAACTAGCTTTTACACTATTAACACATGCTCGTCAAGAAAAACATAGTGAGCAACCCGGCATGTCTAAGACCCAAAGTCGATGACGTGTCAGACACAGGCTTAAACCAATGAAATAGACGGTGAAATGTGTCTAGCCTACGCCCCATTGGGTTACGGATCTTCATCAACTAGAGTCCGATAAATATTTACGAATTATGATCCGTATTTAACGATTGTTGTGTAACTAAGCTAATGTGTATGTATAGAACGGTTTTGTTACGGTTCTCATACACAAGCTGAACTGCGTAGAATATTAATTACATTCAATACAATGTCCTAAGAATAGAAATATGTGTCGCAGGCTTTAGTTTTGGAATAAAAAATGTGTTTTTTCTATTGTTGGTTACGAGTTATAGACAGTTATCTAAGCTACTTGTCCCCTGCCCGTTTGCCCCGTGATCTATTAAAAAAAAACGACAATCCATGCATATAACCGCATTAATATTGTTGTAACGTAAATTATCATTTTTAGTTTGAAATAGCTGTCACTTTAAGTTAGGTAAAGTAAAATCAAACAATATCTCCATAACAATTATTATGCTTTACCATAAATATCAATTCAGATATTGAATCTAACAGACGCCCACTAACAGATTTGCTTACTTAAACTACTTAAATACCCAATTAAATGAAAGTGACCCTTATAAGTTACTGATGTAAGTCCAAATCGCATTCGTAGTCTAATAACGAGTGTGTTATTTCATATTCAATCTAAACTAACCATGTGGTCAAGAAATCGGTCGTACTTAAGGGATTCAACTGCTTTCAGTTTTAGAGTATTATTATGGGCAGCTGTAATATTCTTTCCTATCTGCAGCAGACATTGTCGATTGTCACCTGCTTCTTCAAATGTAAAAAGTATTGCTACTAAATAATATTTTCAAGTGTGAGGTGGCCTTCAATCACCTTTGTTCGAATTTAAATTACTTGGTTTCAACGGATATTGGAATTGTAATCAATTATACTCTTATCTTGGTTCTTGTTTGTGTAGATAATAGATCACATTTTAAACATTCAAACACTTTTTATAGCTATACAGGACAATTACACGACATTAAACTAGTCAAAGTTCGGGAAATATTTTTCAAAATATGTCAAAACTAGTGTAAACTAGATCAGGTCAAGTTACTATTTTGACGTTCTTAGATATCTTTGAAGGGAAGTTTGGCTTTAGTTTTCTTTTTTGTTTGATGTTCAGTTGGTTAAAGCAGGTCTTGATTTTCAGGGGATTTTTTTTTGTATTTATAGAAGAATAAGTAGAGCAGGGGAAGAAAAGCGCCATACTCAGTAATTAATATATTAACACTAGATATTTTGCGTATAGCAGGCAGGAAAATATGTGCAGGAAAAGACCGAATATAGCTTCGATCTCCCACTCGGGTTATTTTTAAATCACTCGGCCGCATATGGACATTATTTCTAAGCAACAGTTGAGTGTAGTCGCAGTTTTATAGTGAATTTTTGATCATTACCAAACTGTACGAATCTTGACCCAGTTTTATTTTTACTTGAAGGATCAAAGGTACGTCAGTTGCTATAGTGATGAGTGAAGGAAAGCGCACGCTTTTAGTCGATATGTTTCGGTACAAGGTCGGTTTTGTATAGCATTAGTGATTCCTATGAATCGGGTGGGACTTGTTTGTGTAATTAAATACATTTAGTAGCAATTATGACCATTGGAATTTAGTTTCAATATGTTTGTGCATTCTTTAAAGGTGACTGTTAGACTATGTATTTGATTTTTTTATAGTTTTTTTGTAGTCACAACGCAGTAGATTGATAGCCGCACTGAGACTTGTTCATTATCTCTTATGAATTAATTATTACAATTATAGTCATGTCATAAAATTATGTATATGATTATAGCCATATACTTATTTCTGTAGATGATACATATGTAGCACAATGTAACTTAAGCTAAGGATTGAATAATTAATTAACTTTAATACTTCAACTTTTAATATGTACTACTTAAATTTTCAGTAAATAACCCTTAACTCATAACGAACGATTATAAATTGAGCGCAATTTTTACAGGATGTGATATTATCACTTTATATTATTCAAAACACATTTCAATTTCAAATTTTGATTTTAAATAAAAATTACTATGCGTACATATTATTACTACCTTATTACTTTATATTATGAACTATTATAAATGCACTCTTTGTTTCATATAAAACTAATATTTAAATGTCTAATACTTATAAAAATATTTAGTTCAGTGTTATATAAATCAAGCAAGACATTTACATAATATAAGTAATGTTGAACAAGATCGTTGCACTCTGGTTTAGAAAGGTTAGCATAGATCACAATGTAACTTGAATACCACTACTACAGCCAAACTACAGCCATGCCTCTGCGGTTAAAATATCGAATGGACAATAATTTATCGTTATTGTATATTCTACTTGTACCTCAAAAGATTTCGTAACTGATATTGCATTCAAAACCACAAAGTTATATGACTTTTTAACACTATGTGTCGAAATTTCACTAACTGGCGATGAAAATTTTTCATATACATTTTATCTAGTTAGTGGTATAAGTTATGTGAACAATGCTTACTCTTGATGGTTGATGTGGCCTGTAACGGTTCCTGGGAATCCGTTGAAATAAAAGTCATTGTTTTGGGTTAAGAGATACAGAATATCACATTCCCTGTGAAGTAAAATTATATATAACGCCCGACTATAGAACTTTATTAGATTATTTACTAGCTGACCCGGCAAACGTCGCTTTGCCATGAATATTATTTCTAGAAAACATTTTTTTAGTTCAATAAAAATAACTATCTACTATAATAAAAAATAGGGGTTGGTCGTAGAGGGGTGACAATTAAGGGTTGTATGTATTTTTGTATGCTGTATCTTAAAAAAACAAAAAGTATTGTCTAAAAAATAAAATTAAACAATTAGGGGTGGGACCACCCTTAACATTTAGGGGTATGAAAAATAGATGTTGTCTGATTCTCAGACTTACTGAATATGCATAGAAAATTTCATAAGAATCGGTCGAGCCGTTTCGGAGGAGTATGGGAACGAACATTGTGACACAATAATTTTATATACAAATATACATATTAGATTTTTATTGGATTAAATCCTTCTTGCAACATATGTTGACTTTGTCAATGAATGAATTACTATAACCGTATACTTAACATTCCTGAGTGGGTTGGTATCTACGGTAAATACTTACCAACGCTTATACTACCTCAATGAATACGAAAGATCTCATGTTTTTTTTTATCTTTATAGACCAAGGCAAAAATGTTCGTTTGAAGTTTTTATTCTTGGCATTTCCGTAAAATTAAAAAAATTTTTTATATATACATAATGATTTTCTACATAATATATAGATTGGAAACAAACCTTTAATACTAAGTTATACATTGCATTCAACACTTGAACGTAATTAACTTCCTGTTGTAATCTATTAATACACATCCTTAATCGCTACCATTATGCTGGGTGTATGCTTTTTGTACCAGAGATTATAGATATTTGGAAATATTTTTTATTATTAGCTTGTTTTATACCTAAAGTTCTCGTCATTTTCTACTTTTAAGGTGGAACTGTCAAACGGACAGAAAAATCGTTAACATTCAACACCAAGTATGTTTTTATCAGATAAATTAATTTAAAAAATCGAATTTGAAATAAATTCATGTGAACATTTTACGATTCGACCTAAGTAATCGTATCTCTAAGCTATTTCTACGTAGCGTACTACAGACATATCTTACTGAATAATGGACACCCGTTTTTATTAAATGAGTCATCGTCACACAAGAGCGCAGTTCAAACAAGAAATTGACCGTTATAAATGACATCACCGAAGCCTAAAGTGTTTGCTTCGCATTTTTTACCCGCGAATTTTAGCATGTTTAATAATTTTTTTAAATAATTATTAGATGGTTGAAATATACTGCTCAAAACAATTAGCGGAACAAGATTTTTCTCCTTTCTATTGCTTAAACTAAAATTAGATTTAAATTAACTTGTACGCTATTTTTTACCTTGTTAATTTGTTAATTACTACAATTAATTATAAAATGTATTTTTTTAAATTAAAATGTGCATTGTAGACGAAAAACAAAGTGACGTCTTTGAATTTTCATTACTTTCTAATCACAGAAAACACATTTTAAGTAGTTTTTTTCAATCTTTTGAGTATTAATAGAAATTGAAGTGAGTGAGTGAATTCCACAAGAAGATATTCGGAGGATCATACGAAGCATGCCGCGTCGTTGTCAAGCCGTGATTAGGGCTCATGGAGGCCACACACGTTACTGAAAGTCACTAAAGACGAATATTCAAACGATATAAGAATATTTCTTTGATGGACCTTTTTTATCACCAATTAGTTTTTCGTCTACAATGCACATTTTAATTTAAAAAAATACAAATTGAATTTTTTTATTAATTGTAGTAATTAACAAATTAACAAGGTAAAAAATAGCGTACAAGTTAATTTAAATCTAATTTTAGTTTAAGCAATAGAAAGGAGAAAAATCTTGTTCCGCTAATTGTTTTGAGCAGTATATAAAGCTAGAAGCATCAATAGGAAACTTAAATTTTTACTTAATTATGTATTTTAAATTTTTTATACAAGTACAGTTCAAAAACATCTAAAAGTGTCTAATTTTATTCTTGTTGCTATTAATACAATAAATAAATCATTGACATTAAAACTGTCTATTGGATATCCCGCTGAATATTAATATATTTTAGTATATAATTCTGATATCGGTGTTATGTTAACAGAACGAAATCAACAGCCAGTATGAGAGTGTTTCAAGTTCACGTCACTACAGAACGCTCGCTGACGTCACCCTTAGCCCCATATCGCATAATCTGACGCATGACAGGTGAGCATAGTACGCACGTGTTAAAGATCACACTTCAAAATAGATGAATTCTTAGTTGCAGCCCTGCGATTCTGTAACTCACTTTTCGAACTCACACAGCGGTTTTCGCATCGGCGGTCGCTCTCAAATCAGTCGTGAAGCAGTCATTTTATGATTTGGCATTCTAATAAACAATAAACTACAACCTCCCACCTTTTCAGGATGCCAAATCATAAAATGACTGCTTCACGACTGATTTGAGAGCGACCGCCGATGCGAAAACCGCTGTGTGAGTTCGAAAAGTGAGTTACAGAATCGCAGGGCAGGTTCGGCTTGTTTGCCTCCTGATAAAAAAGGATGGAATTGTCTGTAGGCACCGCAAGATTTTTGTGTGATTGTTGATGTCTATATTGGAAATCTTTGATTTTCACAAATGTGTGGGAGCCCACGACGAAACTGTTTCTAAAGATACTTTCATCCTTATTGATCTATTCCGAATTTAGAATCGAACAGTTGATTTATGAACTTGGATATTCAATGGGTAACAAAATTCAAGTAGACCTTGAATTTATTTATAAAACAGCTGACAGCCTAATAATCTATATGTATCCAAAACTGGCATGGCCTTTCAATTGAAAATATTCGAAAAAAAATATAGCTAAAAATATAATTTCATACATCTGCCTTCAACCATCAACAAATTCTTGTACCGCAGCTGCCAAAAGTCCAAGGGTGTCCACCGAAACTGGTTTTTCATCAGACATAAACATCTTATTTCACACAACAATGGGTAGCAGACCAACGTTGTTGACAATCGAGTTGCATTTAAAAAAAAAATCTCCTTTGCCAAGACTTTTATTAATTTGTTGGCATAATTCCAATTTACTATGTGAGTACAATCTGGCGAGGTGTTTCAAATGACACACCTCAAACCAGTTGCCTCTATCACATTAATTACGTTACAAAAACATGACGCGCATTACTTATTATTAGAAATTGATCGATTGTTATCACCAACGGAAATAATAAATTGTAAATTTATAAGCTTAAGAATGTAGGTTCCTAAAGTTCTCAATTAACAATAAATAGTGCCTGATGGTTCGCTCTTTTAATTATATATATGAAAATAATGACGATATTTGTTTATCACTTCCTATGTTTTCTAGGTCGTACCGTATTGGAAGTCCTACCTACAGTGCCTGTTCAACAGACAGCTCCTTCGCAGAACAAGCATTGGCCGACGCTAGTGCTCTCTTAGACAAGGAACCGAACCACGAGCATCTACCCTATCGGCTTTATAAAATGGCGGGAGAGTACTGGAAGTGAGTATTATCTCAAAATTTGCTATAATCAAAGCCTCGGAGTCGTTTATTTCTTCAATTTGAACCCCGGGGTATGTCTTGCTTGTCCTATGTTCTATTAACTAACTCAAATAGAATATAAACATTATCACATCATCATACATTTAACTAATAACTTATTTATCAAACAATACAGTAATTAATGTGTTACATTTTGGGGTTGCACCACCACTATGTGGCTACCCACTGGAGACTTAGGGTCGTTCAAGAAATGAACGTACCAATTCGTTAAAGTCCGTCAACGCACTCGCGAGGCCTCTGGCATTGAGTGTCCATGGGCTATTGCTTAACATCAGGTAAGCCTTATGCCCGCTTGCCCCCTGTTCTCTAAAAAAAAGTTCTTTGTCAAACTAATTTTTAAGTCTTGCTCATATTTATACAAATCTAAAACTTTAGATTTCCCAGACTTAGAGGGAGGGAAAAAGGAAGATATGTTAGGAATTTAATGAATTTAATTGTCATTAAAATATAAAAAGCGTCGAAAATTAATACAAATTATATATATATATTTTTTTTTAAATATTTCTTCGATAACAAAAACACGTGGCATTTCAATTTACGATTCGTCATTTGAGATTTCAAAAAATTATTTTGCATAAAATATAAAATACTAATATTTCATAAATTCTCTTTACGAAATTAAATTTTAAAAAAAGAATTCCTATAAGGTAATTCGCCCTTCTCACTCTCGCTCAATCGGTCTCAATCGCTCTCTCCCTTTTCGACAAAAACGCTGCCACATCTTCATGACGTTTCATCCGTAAAAATTTTACCCTCATGCGCTAAAGAAGTTTCCATTCAAAAATATGTATACTTTGAAAGCCTTCTTATTTCCTTCAAAAAAGCATTATAATGTCTGCCCGTATTTTCTTTATCGTAATTGTAAAATAAATACGACACCGTAATTTTCTACATACGAGCGGAATATATCATTTTTTATATACGTAACAATTAAAAAGTAACATACATTTTCACAATATTGTTTAGACATAGACAACTAACTTATAGTCAAACCTGTGTGGCAAGGGGCAAGTATTTACAGACAAGTACGTACGTTATATTGTGAAAGAGTACTTTGGAAACTTGTTCATTTGACATCGCTAAATTTATTTAGCTGAGATGTTTTTTCCCTTAAACATGATTCGAATCGATAGAAACCGATTCTAAACATTAAAGGTTAAATAGTCTCCAAGTCTTATTTTATTAACTGATGCAATTAAGTAACCACATAATACGCAGTACTCAATATTACTGTCTACCTTCCGAAACGATTTGTTTGGCCGGTATTTTTACCCGACACATGCGTTTGCGCATTTTTCGTTACCAATTGACCCACAAGAGTAGTTTTGCACAAATAGACTTCCTTTGTTCTACTAACGAAATAAAAATGAAATCAAATATTTTGGGGGTAGATTAAAAATTTACCAACGCAGTTTAGTTTGACAGCCGATGTGAACAATGGTAGTGAGAAAGATATTAAAATCGTTAAAATTTAAGTGTATTTTCTATTAAGTTAAAATTAATGCATAATGGAAATAGTGAAAGAGTTAGATGTGGAAGTAATTGAGGAGACTGTGACGTTTGGGTAAATATTTGTTTAAATTATTTATTTTAAATTTAATACCTTTGTTATTGGTTGTCAATCTAATAATTTTATATAGAAAACATTTGAATTAAGTCAAATTAAACAAAACCTTTATGATTTATTTAGATTTTATTAATAGATAGGAAAACTCAAACAGGGAAGACATGACCCTATTCATAAGATTTATTTTCCCCTGAAGAGGCCAAAACATAATCCGTTGGAGTATTATGTGTGTAATAAATTGGTGTTATAAATGCTATTACAAATAATAAGTATAATATAATAATTTCAAATTGTTATATAACGACCAGCACCGATTAGTTAGTAGTACGCAGCCAAATGCTTTTGTACAAAGGAATAAATTCATTGTGTAACTAAATTTTTACGTGATATGAGTGCAAAAAAAACAACATTAGAACAAAGAGTTCGCCTTGAAAGATATAAAAAGTGTAACAACAACAAAGTGAACTTTCCGTTATTATTTTTCTTTGCAAGTCTATATGAATGATCAGTTAAGAGATGTTTAAATAATGTATGTTACAGCCGTGTAATATAGAACTACCCGCAATACTAACAGATATTGTATGATCGAATACACATAATATACAACATAAAATAACGTGTAAGCCTTATTATCCTTAACGATAGAACTCTGTTTAAAGAAATAAATTAAAAAGTATATGGGATATCGTATACTTATATTATAAATAAGAATTATGTATTTTAATATGTTTGTAACAAATAAACTGCAACTCGTATTTTAAAATTTTGTTGACCGTTAAAATGCGTCACACATAGGCTCAGAGATACTGGGTGAAACCACATTTGTTTCTAAAATATTAAAATAAATGCAGCCATACGAAGGGACATATTTTAAAATAACAATGCGTATATATTTCAAAGCAATTTTACATTTATTTTATCAAAATAATACTTAGAACTTGTCGAATGGGTTCGCACCTTTATGTAGTGACAAAACTGTTTTACTTGTTCTAAATCGGGAGTTGGAAATGCCGAGTGGTAAGAATAACGTCGAGTCGTGCCTAACGTAACTTTGATCGCTTATTGTGCTCACGTAAACAATAATTGTGCAAGTAGAATTTAATAGTTCTCTCGGTGTGAAGTGAAATTTTGAATTGTCACTTTCGTGCATAAACTAAAACACTTTACAGAGGTGATTGTTCTTAGAAATATTGTGTATATTTTGACTATTATAAAAGTTAGGTTAAGATAGTAGTAAATAAACCGACATGTCTTAGACCCAAAAAGTCGACGGTGTGCGTCAGGCACTGGAGGCTGATCACCTACTTGCCTGTTAGATTTAAAAATGATCATGAAACAGATTCAGAAATCTGAGGCCAAGACCTAAAGAGGTTGTAGTGCCACTGATTTATTTTAAAATTAGATTTTTACAAGATAGATAAAACAATAATTAAGAAACTGTCTTAATTTTACGTTCCGAACGGATGGGTAAGCAGCTATTGTCCCAGGTTCCGAGCGGTTAAATAAAGAAATTTGAGTGTATTATAAAGTAAGAAATATGCTTAAAATAATAAATAGATAAAAAGGATAGGATAGTATGATTTTTGAAGTATTGAAGACGAAATGTAGAAATCGCTTAACCAAAGACAATATTTATATTTTTAACATTACGTAGTCGGTCCCAAAGTTCTGTCATAAATGGAAATAATGATAAAAACAAAAGTACTGATCAGTTTGTAATGAGTGATATATCAATTCTTAGTACATTAATTAAGGAATAAAAAAAGCATAAAAATATTCGAAATAACCTCCCTCATTTTTAATACAGGCCCTTAAGCGTCGCGGCCAGTCGTCTATCGCAGCACGCACCATATTCGTGTCGATTTCAGTCACTGGTTTTTTTAAAGATGACTTCAGATTCTCCAAATTTTCATGAGGTTTATCACAGACCTTCCTCTCTAAGCCCTGTCATAATTTCTGGTCCAAAGGATTAAGGTCCGGACTGGAGGAAGGCCAATCCTCATGTCTAATTAAGACGATGTTTTGACGCTCAAACCAGGCTTTAGTGGTCTTGGCTTTGTATGCAGACGCAGAGTCCTGCTGGAACACGAAGTGATGTCCCGCAAATAGGGTGCTGGACATGTCTTTGACAAGGCGATACAAAACCGTCTCTTGGTACACTGTAGAACTGGTTTTGACCCCCTTTTCGAAAAAATTAACCTCAGTTAGCCCGTAATAGGACACTCCCAACCAAACCATTACTGATGATGGATGATGTCCATGTTGCACCCTTGGAACTTTATTTTCTTTTCAGCTTCTTCAGAACTCCTAGCGTACACTGTATAATTCTGTTTATTGTACTTCTCTTCAATATCGAAAAATTTTTCGTCCGTAAAGAGGATATCACGGTGTCGGTTTTTCGCGTACCGCTTAAACAACACCCGCGATCTCTTAAGCCTTATGGCTTTTAGACGAGCATTAAGTAAGTGCCCACTCTTTTTTTGTATGCTCGTAGACCAAGATCTTCATTTAAAACCTTTTTTACTGTTTTCCTACTGACACCCATCTGCAAATCCATCAACTTCTGTTTTCGGACAGGATTTCTTACTATCCGCGCCTTGATAGCTTTGATTACTGCTGGTGTTCTTGCGGAGCGTGGCCAGCCAGTTCTTTTCTTGTCCTCAACACTGGAGACTTCAAGGTACCTATCAATAGTACCGTACACAAACCTAAGCGTTATATTCAAATTTTTGAGCAACTTGAAAATGGTACTCGGCGAGTGTCCACAGCGGTGCAACGCAATAACAACTATTCGGTTTACTTTCAATGTCCACTCCATCGTGAAAAATTACGGAATGTTATTGTTTTTTGTTTTAAAACAATAATCAAACATTCCAAAATAGAATGCAATAATTTTTTTATAAAATCCTGCTCGAAATGTAGAAATAATGTGCTAGTGACAGAACTTTGGGACCAACTACGTACTTTATAAAACATTATGAATTTCAGCAAATACCCCAAAACGGACTACACATATTCCCCAATGTCTCGGGACCGCGTGGAGCTGGCTCCGGGGCAAGTGGCTGTCCCGAATATGTCTCGTCGCTCTCTGTCCCAATTCCGGGTGCAAGGTCCAAACACAGTGGACGAACCTGACCAGTTTGTCTCCACTTGGACAAGTACAACTACGAGGAAACGTTTCACGGTAGGTCTTATACACTTTTTACTAGAATATGATTTTCAATTTAGTTCTTGGTTTTTGATCTTTGGCGAGACAAAAGTGTTTCAAGCAAGAACATTGAATTCAATAATGATAACTAATCCACGATCATGTCAATTTTCTAACATAAAACGTATCATAATCGGTCCATTCGTTTAGATGCTTCGATGCCACAGACACGTCATACTTATAACATGAGGGAGGTTTTAAGTAAGGGGTTAATGAATAAAAACAATCAATGACTTAGGTGCAGAAAGGTTGTCTAAATTCATGTAATAAATGCTGTAGAAGTAAAAATAGTACGATTATATTATGTAGTCTAGATCGACTTTGAGAAAGCAACTTAAAAATCAATTCCTCGCGCCAAAAGTTTAACAGTCAGGAGGCTCACCTTGCTTGAGCTTGAGGCTTGAGTGAAACCATGGACACTCTCCAAAGTCAGGTAAGTTCGGTATTGGTTCGGAAATACGTCTACTGGCAGCTGGTTCTACATAGAGGTGGTGTGCCGCAAAAAAATGCTTTAAAAAACACTCAGTTGTGGAACGACAGAAGTCGGGTGGAATTTCATATTCTATCTTGACGAAGTCATAAATATTCAGATGAACAGATTCTGTATTTTATTGAAATTTAAACAAAAATCTGAATTTTAAGTTTTATTCTTATTACTGGCTAATAGTGTTTGTTCTATGGTAGGGTGAATAAAGCCTGGAAATATGGACGGACACAATTTTAATTTAACGATTTGAGTTTCTCAAAACAACGTAATATAATTAGTATATAAATTAAATTAACGATTTTTTAAATAATATATAGAAATTTAATTATTTTCATTACAGACAGTAGAGAGTTCTGATGATGAGAGCCCGTACATTCATAACGGTTATGGCGCGAGAGAGGAAAAATGGTGGTTTACTCAACTATTGGCAACAATACTAACTACGATCCGTACTAGCACTCGTAACGCCTATAGGAAGGTGGTTGGCCCGTCCCACAGATATCCTTATACTGACAGGAGGCCCGCTAAAGGTAATAAAAAATAAATACAAAATATAGTAGTGTAGCTTATCCAGCTGCTTTGATTCTTAGAAATTTGGGTTATTTTCATTTGATATGTATGTCGCATTAAAGTAGTTAAATCAGAGAGTTAATTGAATCTCTAGACATTTAATTTAAGATCGATATTCAATCAACTCGCTAGCGTTTTGATTTAAATAAAAAAGCGTGGAAAACGTTTAACTATCTGGCTGACCGAAAGCCAGCGTGTTGATTAATAATTTAAAACAAGATGGCGGTCAAGACAACAGCTGATTACTTTTAGAGCCTTTCTTTTGGCAAAAGTTGGTTTGTTGTGACAGTGGTCTTTTGTTTCAAATTGTGTTCTTTGGTGAAATTGTAAACAATTTCGGTGTGATCGTGAGAGCTTAGAAATTCCGTGTTTTGTCTTATTGTAAATGGTTAGGTTAGATTAGTAATAATTTTAATTGCGTTAGTAAGCATATTTTTCATTGGTATCGTTGATTTTAATTTTGTTGTTGAAGATATTTTATAGTTCCTTTTTGTATACCTTGTCTCGCCCATACAATTTTTGTGGAATAGGTTCTGGCTAGTTTCTAGTTTATACCTAGCTTGAGCAATAATACTTAACATGCCATTATTAAAGGTAAAACGAACTAAACAAATGTACCAAATATCTGCGCAGAGCAGGTTTTTTTTTTTAAATTAAAGAAACAACAAAAAAAAATTTTTACTGGCTCTTTAAAATTTCATTTTCCTAAATAATGAAATATTATTTAGGAAAATATATACGACAATATATATAGCAAAATAGATAAACATATATATTTTTTTTTTCAATCAAATGTGTATCTTGGTCACCCTACCAAAGTTGAAATGCGTCTGTTGTCTAGGAACGTTTAGGAAACTCGTTAAACGTTTCGTTCAGTCACTTGTCTGACAAACTTTAGCGCTTGATTGAATATCGATATTTAATTAAATGTCTAGAGATTAAATTAACTCTCTGATTTAACACTTACTGCGATATTTTATTGTAAATAGTATGGTAATTTAGTGGCTTTAATTTTATTATTATTATATTTGTGGTAATTTATTTCCTAAGTTTGCTATTAGTAATATGTTAGTAACGGTTTTTATTTAGCGTAAAGGCTTTATTAAATATGTAAGTTCGCGCTCGGTAGATACTCTCGGTGACCCCAGAGCTGTTCGTTGATCGAATAAGTATCGCAACAGCGAGGAAATACTGCCAGTGGACCAAACATTTAAATTTATTTTAGCTTTCTATTTATCCTTTTCTAATTAATATTACTATGTAGGTTAAGTGTTGGTTTAGTTTCAAAGTATATTCAAAAGTGCAAATAATCTAAATTTTCAGCTGGCCTTATATCACAAGCTGCAAGCGTCGTTACAGCGCCTTTCTACTGGATATACACTCTCATCACTTCGGTCATCACCACAACGGTTACTACGGTCACTGAAACGGTAATTATTATTTAACGGTGAACACCTCGAATGTGTACATAGAGCTGAAGCTTTAGCACGAACAACTTAATATCGTTTTTGTAAGGGAAGGAAAGAAGTGGATCTTAAGAATTTGGAATTACATGAACACATATTGTTGTATAATATTCGGTTGTTGACGGACATTAGTCCCATCGTAGTATGATAGTTGTGGAATAGAGAATGCATTTGTGTCTGCACATACTTAAACCCTATAATATCCTGTATATATGGCAAGCCTCAAGAAATGAGGGCCCCCCCATGGCTACAAGGGCCTATTATAATTCCATAGTAAAAATAAGGCCTCGTGACCCTAGTGTTTTCCAACCTGGGCCCACTCTCCACAGGGGGGCAATTTGATTGTTAAGGGGGGCTATTCGAAAATTTATTAAAATTAATTAATATTTGAATATCGGTTTTTAAATTTATCATTTTTAAAAATTTGTATCTTTAACAATTTCCTAGTAATTTCGCGATCAGCCCATACAAATTATTGTTTAATACAGAATGAATCTTCCAACACCATGCATCCAAGCCACAATTGAGTTAGGAAACTTTGGTAAATTCGCTAAACTGTCAAAATAGTTTTTGTATTAATAGTATTAATTTATGGATTAGGAATACCTGTCTGATGAGTATCCTAAATATGTTATAGATATCGCCGAGTAAAGCAATTCAAACTGAAAAACATCGAGCTATGTATAATAAGCATGAGGGTGGGAAATGGAAGCTGTGGCCGCTTTTGCTTTTATTACCGGCTGTTGGATATGGATGTAAGTATATTATTTAATATAAAAACAAGAAGCAAAGTCTATTTTCATAGATTTTTTGTTGTAGACTTGCTGCCAAATCGTTCATCCCATAAAACTCCCAAAAATACTGTTTTGATCACCTGTCGTAAGATATATTTATATATATACTAGCGGATCCGGCAGAAGTTGTCCTGTACACACGTCCTGCATAAAAAAAAATGAAAATCATTCTCGACTCCACTTGAATACACAAAAATTTCATCAAAATCTGTCCAGCCGTTTAGGAGTTTAATTATGAACACATGCACAGAACATTTATATATATAAAGATATAGAACACCTTGGCTTATCTAACACAAAAGGCGTATAATTTGAAGTCCGGGTTCGATTTACTGCAAGCGTGTTAATAAAAGGCTTGTCTATGAAAATTATGTTTCATGTTTCTCTGGTTGGAACGTCAATTGTCGAATTAAAAAAAAATACTTTAGCAAAACTATTCAGTTGAGGGCGTTGGCCTTAAGACAAGGAAGAGTATAAATCTCACTGAATAAATCTCTTTCAGCGTACTACACATACGAGAACTTGGATCACCTGGCTCTGCCAAACTTTTCAGATTTCTATATAGATTTAACAGACTTCACAGCAAAAACTTTCCAAAACTTGTCAATGCCAAGTCTCCCTGTATTACCTAACATCAATTTGACAATGCCAAATGTCAGTTTGACACAAATAGATGTGTCAAAAAAATATACAGTGTATAAAGAAGTTGTACAAAATAGTATAAGCGATGCCTCAGATTATTTACAAGTTGTAGCTGAGAGCTGCTGGGAAGAGATACGGAGATTTTGGCGTGGGGTGCTCGGATGATGTTTTTGGCAAGAAAACAAAATGCCCAGTAAAAACTTATTTTATGTTCAAGTTTTGTCATGGCGAATTATATGATTTTTTTGTTGTGATTATGTTGACATTAATATTAATGCTATTTTGTCTTCCGTCATATCTCGTCACCATTAATGTCCAACCAAATGTTAGTGATCGGCTAAGAATAAGTTTATGCTAGTACAAACCTTTCATACTAGCTCAATCGAGTGATTTAAACGAGAAATTATAACATTATTTCCATAACTGGACGTTCCGTTTATAAAGAAAATTTTAAAACTTAGTTTTTTTAAAAGATGTCGCAAATTTATGGGCATATGATTAAACGTCAAACGTCGAAAATTTAAACAATATGGGCCAGTTGTGGGTCACAGTTTCAGAAAATTATCAGTCACATCGTGAAATGATAAATCTTACGATCGAGCCATGACATATTTATTTGTGTTTTAATTTTACACTGGCAATACGTAAGGTTAATAAAATTATTAAAATTATTTGATTTGAGCCTAATTTAACTTTTGCGCTTGACTAATAACGTGATTTAGTTACGATGTATTTGATTAATTCATTCCCCCTGTCTAGATACGTATACTTCTGTATTTTAAAAGGTATTTCTATAATTAAAATGTAAAAGATCAATAATAACATTCCTTTTAAAATGCGGATATTACGAATGATTAATATTTTTATATTAAGAGTATTTTTATATCATATAATCACAATTATATTTATTTTTATACCTGAAGAGGTAAACTTTATTTTCACAACACAATGTGTGGTATTTATTAAATGTTTAGATTAGTTAAATTATATTAATACTAAAACAGGCTTATATAGTTTTTACAATCTGTCTTTAACAGTCTCTAAAACAGTTATATGACTTTTATGAATGAAGGGAAAGTATTTTTAGTGGTCCATTATCATATGTTTCATAAACCCTTTCTTGATAGTCAAATAGATATTTTCTAACTTTCGACTTAAATATATAGTAAGTTTCGTTTCACTTTGGTCACAAGTGAAACCACCACCGATTTTTTTTATACAAATACAAATGATGATGGAAAGATGTACCTAAAAAGAAATATGGCCATATTAATCTACCTATATACTAAATTAAACTAAATCTAGTCCTATTGTTGATTTTTGAAACAATTAATATATTTAATTCTTCATTTTTGGCTTTAATTTACTTAATTTGATTGTATCAAAATTATTTTAATATTAAGATGAAAACCTTTAAGTACAAATGTCACAATTTATGTTTCAATGTTCTGTGCTCTTCGTGTACCTGCTGATTTTAGTTAATAAATCCGATCTAATATATTTGCTATCTTAATTAAAATTAAGAATAACAAATATGTAATTATGTAGTACTAAAATTATTTATTACTGGTGTGGCAATTTTTAATTATAAATTGTTTATTGTACTAACTGGGTTATTTAATTAAAATTTTATTATGCAAATTGTGTTATCCTTTCCCTTCCCACATTCCCCCTTACCAGGGAAGGATAGAGGTATTATCACCTATACAAAGTGCTCGCTGGACGCTCTTTTAGGTGAGTTATAACATTTTCTTTGTTAAATATCAATCTCTGTCCTTCCCTGAACCTAAAAACCTTTAAATGTGGGGAAGGACAGAGCATCGAACCTATAGTAATTTTTTTTTTCCATTACAGATTATAAATACAACGATCGAGTACTGGACACGTATGCGCCCCCGATAATCGGTCAAGACGCGGACTTGACCAAACGAGTCGCGGCTCTCGAATCGTGGGCCCTAAATGTCGATAATCGATTCAAACTTGTCGATGAAAAACTATCGAAATTCCATAACTTTGAAGCCCAAATAGAGAACTATTCGTTTAAGAATTTGCAACGGAATTTGATACAGATTTTAAGCATGGACGATAATAGTGAAGCTATTGCCAGTAAACTGAAGGAGCACTTCGATAGAAATTACATTTCGAAGGATGAAATGCAAATACTGAGTCAGCAGATACATGAGAGATTGATCAATTCGTGGAAACCGGATATGAGTGAAGATGATATTAGGAGATTAGTACAGGAGTATCTGTTGACTGTGGAGAAACGGCAGATGGCGGTCATAGTTGAGAAGGTTAAGGAGTATGTAGGAAATGTGGCGGCACCTGGAGGTGGAGATGACCCAAACCATTATCACTCTGAGGAGATCCAAAAACTGGTGATGAGTATGCTGGAAATCTACGATGCAGATAAGACCGGATTGGTAGATTACGCGTTGGAGTCTGCAGGTAAGAATTTTTAGGCAAAGTTTTTGTCATTAAATTACAAATAAGTAGAATGGTGTACACTAATATATCTAAAAATCTTAGCAAAGCCAGAATCCATTAGAAAATAATGCTAGTTCAAATTGCACTAAAAATTAGCATCATTATTGCAGAGGTGCCACCTACTGTAAAATAATATTAAAAAGGCAAAACGATTAAATCTACCATATTTTTTATGAAAACATTACAAATGTAATAAGTTCCATTAAGAGAAGAATTATTAATTAATAAATGTATTGGTCTTTAAGCCTCGTCCAGTATCCATGTCTTTGTCCTTTCCCGAACAAACAAAAAACCCACTACTACACTGTAGCAAGATTTTTTAATATTATTGTTTTTTTTTTTTACTTCCAGGCGGTCAAGTTATATCGACGCGCTGTACTGAACTATACCAGATAAAGACGAAGCAGTACTCGATCCTCGGTTTGCCAGTTTGGTGGGTGTACACGTCGCCACGATACGCTCTAACGCCAGGGAATATGCCCGCTGAGTGCTGGGCTTTCCAGGGCTTCCCAGGATACCTGGGTAAGTGATAACAAAATGGTATAATTTTTCTAGAATCTAATGGCCTTATCACAAAACTTGGACTGAATGTAATACCGTGTTTGTAACGATGCTTGTATAATAAAATAGATCATGTTCTATTAATGTTTTTTTCATGTTACTACTAGTTTAAAGTAGGGGTGTTTTCCTGTGTAAAACGGGATTATGAATATAAATTACTAATAATAATGTCAGTTGTTGGCACATAATGCTTAATAAATGTACAGTCCCTGTTTCCCAGAAATTTATAAAATTTAACTTCATTTAAATAAACTAAGTGAAGTTTAAAAAATTCCTTTACTTATACTGGGTTACAAATATCCAAGCTAGATTCGCCTTAATTTTTTATGGAGTGTACATACTCAATGAACTAATGTTATTCTGTAATAATAAAAGAAGGATGTAAATTTAATAATTTTATAACCAACACGCTTTTTTATATTTTTACTCGAAGACCGTAGACCTAAAATCATTCACAAATGTTATAGATGCAAAATTGTAAGCAAACTTAATAGTTAACAGTACATAATGCAATAGACACCACAACAATTTACGAGAATTAAAAGAAACTATTGCGAACACTTGTCATATTTTAATAAAACTAATATATTTATAAACCATATATATACTTTCATCCTTTTTTCAGTAATTCGAACATACGCAATCATTGAAGTAACGGGTTTTTCATTGGAGCATATGTCTCGTCTGCTGGCTGCTGAAGGGAAGATTGAATCTGCACCTAAATACTTCTCAGTTTATGTAAGTATTATTACAGCGCTGATTATGGGAATGTTTCTTGTATAGTACCTATTGCGCGATTGTTGTACATACGGCCTAATTATAAAACGCGGACTAAAAATGTAGAAATGTAAGAACATGTCACTACTATGTTACGAGGTTTTCATTGAAAAAAATACCATGTAACTAGTAATACAGTCACAAAAATTAAGAATTCCTATATTTTGCATTGCAGGGACTCCATGGTGAATTGGACCCAGAGCCACATTTATTCGGTAACTACGTGTACGACGCTAATAGCACGGCCATACAACACTTCCCCGTTCAATACCCCAAGACGACCAACATTGGGGGTATAGAATACCCAGTCGCTTACGACATTGTCGAACTGCGGGTCGAGAGTAACCATGGCAACCCTACATACACCTGTGTTTATAGATTTAGGGTACATGGCAACCCTTTGAATGATATACGACAAGCCACAGAAGATAGCATTAGAGATAGTGAAACATAGTTGTGGCCTTATAACTTTAGTACAAAGTGACTTAATGTGTTCCGATTTAGCGTTAGTGTGACCATTTAACTGTGAGGAATTTGCTCGCCTTGTGAAAAAAATGGTAGAATTTTAAAAATATCCATTCTGAATTGTAACATTTTAATTCAATTATCAAAGGTGTTGCAATAACTCAAATCCCTAATCTCAATACCGCACAAGGCATACGCTTAGTTTGTTATATAAGGTAGATTAAGTTTTATATTTTAACTATTTAATGTACTGGTAAGCGCTGCGCGTAAAGTACAAAGTCAGCTTTTATCACTTGACGAGGTCATCGACCCTTTGTGGAAACAGCTGATTATTATTAAGTTTTTACCCAATCACAGCATGTTGACTAGACTATTTACTCATCTTATACAAACAAGTACGTTGGATCTGGGGCCCTAGACAAAAATACTTAGTGACCCATTTGAATTTGTATTAAATTAATTGTAAATGTCATTCCTATACAATTTTATTTGAGAATAGGGAGTCACGACTATTAAAGTATTTTTGTCTAAAAGCCGGTTTCCATAATTATATTGTAATTTTGCGCATTGCACATGAGTAGGATTTTGTACAAAAAAACAAAGACACAACAAGAACGTGATATTAAGCCTCGAATCTACTGTTAGGCGCAGGAGTCCTCGATAAGATTTTTTAAAACTATTCTTTAGGATTTTAATTTATTGAAAACAAATCTGTATGCAATTAATAATTGAATAGGATTAAAATTTAAGCTAGCATTTTAAGTTCTTTCAAAAGGTTCTTATATGGACAACGTAAAATTATGTATTTACACATTGATATTTCTAACTAACGGACGGACAGTCCATTTACTACTATGATAACGCTCCGTAATTCGTATGTTAGGTATAGCAAGTCCGAGCATAATTTTAACCTAGTTTTAGTGAAGGAACTAGTCCAATTTAGTTAATAATTTTTATGCAAATTATAATGGATTACGTTTTAATCTCGTTCTCATCATGTTTTCTTATATATTAAGGAAGTACACAAGTAGCACAGATGTACTAAACTCACTTTATAAAGACTTAATTTGACAATTCAGTCTTAACTAAAGTACTAATCTTTATATAGATTTGGCGAACGGAGTTAAGTGTTTTGGTTAAAACAGTATAAACAGACAGTTTAAGTTTTTATGAATTGCAGTGTAAAAATTATAAGAAAACATTTATAATTTTAACAGAAATAGTACAAAAAAGCATAGAATTTCACGTTTTTAGCCATCATTGTTTGTTGATTGACTATTTAATAGTTAAAAAATAACGTGATACAAAATATTGGCAGCTCGAATTCTTGAAGTTAATATTAATCGAAATGTCGACGCATAGCGAAATTATAATTTAAATAAAAATCGAATGACCTATATATTATGTTGATAATATGGCATGTTGACGACTTTAATCTGTATTTTCCTCGAAATAGATGTATTCATGCATAAAGTATAAAGCATCTAGGCCACTACACTGCTCTTGATAAAAAAAATACCAAGAAGAATAAAACCTTTAATTTACTACTTTGTGGTGCTTTCGGTCTATCTATATAAATACTATTTATTACTGTATAATATGATTGTTGTTCATTATGTATTATACCAAGTTTCCTCACCGTGTCTTATAGGATTGTTAATACATAGTACTATTTATTAATAACGACAATAAATTCCAGTAATCATGTAAATTATTACTAATTGAATATCTAAAACTTCGAGAATGTCGTCGTACAAAAATCCTACAATATATTTTCGAAATATGTATATAAAAATAAAATTTTCTACAGTTTTATCCAATAAATACGTGTAATGCCTGATTGTATGAATTTATTAAATAAATGAGTGTATTTTAACTTATTTAATTGCGGTGTGAATTCTTCTTTAAGTTAAGGTTAGTGTTTTACCATAATGCTTCACCGAAATTGTCTAAATGTGTTGTTCCAATTACAGTTTTAATAAAATATGAATTTGTTTTATTACCTCCCCATTTGCCTATTTATTTTTAACATTTGACAATGAGAACACCGAAGTCTGAAAATACCCCCTACCAAGACCAAGTATTTTTAGATCCAAGACTCGTTCACGTTACATTAAGATGCTCGTAATGTGTGTGTGCTGGCGGCTGGCGCTCAATTTTTTCAGCCAGTGTCAAGTTCCAGTTCAATAAGTCGTCTTGGCTATCAAAGGCTAAAAAATCGGAGATGTATGTTATGACACCCGTTTCGTGGATACGTAAACTGACATATTGTTGACCTTCTACTATACTGTTATTTTATCTATAACTATGTATAATTATTTGAAAAATGTTACTAATAAGCAATTTCATAAATGCAGTATTTTATCTAAGTCATATTAACCTAAAACAATATTAAGAACCGGTCTATAGATATCTTACGTTACGCGCATGTACGATACTATTCGAATCATATCAATCTGTATCTCATTGTTTTTTACTTATGCATCATTAATAAATCCTATCTCTTACCACCTACGTATCGACCTGCTTTCCTTAAAAAAGAAGCAGTCAGCTTTCTTAAACGATTAGTAGGTAGGGCATCTGTGCTACAGATTTACTGATAGTGGGTAACGAGATCAAAGAACAGTTTATTTATAATCGCGTTGTCCCCCGCACAGCTTCTATTTTTACCCTAGGTCAATGTCGAACATTGGTCCTACACGTTGCATGCAATATGCAATGAATTGTTTGGGTTCTGTAATTTCAGGGCGGTAAAATCAAAGACAGGTTAAATTTTACGAATTTTTTTCATGTATTTTTTTTCTTTTATAATTTATAAATGACCTAGTAAGAAAGTAGTCTTATCCGTTTCAGCACATACAATCATCATTCATGAGATTACAAAAAGATCCTTTGGCGAGTGCAGTACCGAGGCCGGCGGTCGAGGCGCGCCCGCGGCGCCGCGCTCCGTCCTGCCGTCACTATTACGATTTAATTACAATAATATCTTACGTACAATTAAATTAACGGAGATTACAAGCCTGAGTTGAGCAGCCGACCGCGGGACCGGCCGTGCCGCGGGCCGCTTCTGGTGGCAGCAGTGCGCTAATATTATGCGCTTAGAAGCACTTCCTGTGCACGATAGAGGGACCGGACTCGTCGTACTCCTGTTTCGAGATCCACATCTGCTGGAAGGTCGACAGGGACGCGAGAATGGAACCTCCGATCCATACGGAGTACTTCCTCTCTGGGGGTGCGATGATTTTAATTTTCATGGTGGATGGCGCCAGCGCTGTAATTTCCTTCTGCATACGGTCGGCGATTCCTGGGTACATTGTGGTACCACCAGATAATACTGTGTTGGCGTATAAGTCCTTACGGATATCGACGTCACACTTCATGATGGAGTTGTATGTGGTTTCATGGATACCACAGGCTTCCATACCCAAGAATGAGGGTTGGAAGAGGGCCTCAGGACAACGGAATCTCTCGTTTCCGATGGTGATGACCTGTCCGTCGGGAAGTTCATAGGACTTCTCGAGTGAGCTGCTAGAGGCGGCGGTGGCCATCTCCTGCTCGAAGTCAAGAGCCACGTAGCAGAGTTTTTCCTTGATGTCTCTTACGATTTCACGCTCGGCCGTGGTGGTGAATGAGTAACCGCGCTCGGTGAGGATCTTCATTAGGTAGTCGGTAAGGTCACGACCGGCCAAGTCCAGACGCAGGATGGCGTGGGGCAAGGCGTAACCCTCGTAGATGGGGACCGTGTGGGAGACACCGTCACCGGAGTCGAGCACGATACCGGTGGTACGACCGGAGGCGTACAGCGATAGCACGGCCTGGATGGCTACGTACATAGCGGGGGTGTTGAAGGTCTCGAACATGATCTGGGTCATCTTCTCTCTGAAACGAAATTGGCACCATTAGACACTGAAGATTCTAAATCTAAAATCTTCTAAATGTTTTTAAAGTTTGACAGAGATATGTACCTGTTAGCCTTAGGGTTGAGGGGAGCCTCTGTGAGCAGGACGGGGTGTTCCTCGGGAGCCACACGAAGCTCGTTGTAGAAGGTGTGGTGCCAGATCTTCTCCATGTCATCCCAGTTGGTAACGATACCGTGCTCAATGGGGTATTTGAGGGTGAGGATACCTCTCTTGCTCTGGGCCTCGTCCCCTACGTACGAGTCCTTCTGTCCCATACCGACCATCACTCCCTGATGACGGGGCCTGCCCACGATTGAGGGGAATACGGCCCGGGGAGCGTCGTCTCCCGCGAAACCGGCCTTGCACATACCGGATCCATTGTCTACTACCAACGCGGCTACTTCTTCGTCGCACATTTTGAATTAGTCTGAAATAATTAAAAAATGTTAGTAAAATAATACTAATTGATTAGAAGTATAAGTAATAATTTATTAATTTAACTAGAAAATTGATAAAATGGTGTAAGAGCTAAACTAATATCGCCCACGTTGTCACAGAGTGGGCGGTGGAAACGTGTTGACCATAAAAGGTATCTAACAAGACGCGAAGACGTGGCATTGAAAGTAGGCCTGTGACACGGGTATTTCAAAGCGTTCGCATGCTACACATTCATCTTTTAAAAGAATCCATTCACAATCGGTTGAGTGTTCCGACCACACCCTACCGCAACCGGCGTTCCCAAGTCCCGGCCGCCGGCGCGGCATCATGCGGTGTCACCCCGTGTCACTGACCTAACAATCTTTGCACTTAAAATTAACACTACACAAATATGCACTATACACTTGCACGTCAACTTACTTTAATTAAATAGTCCTATTAAATAAATAAATTACTATTGCTATTGCACAGCCACAGATTTGCCGCACAACGCCACTACTCGAGTACACTTCGTGGAATGGTGGCTTTCGAGGCTCGCAGAGTATTTAAGTGAGGCTCGATATCGGGGCGCCCCGACCCGCGAGCCCGCAACGGCGGAGACCTCTCGACCAATCAGAACAATTCTGAGTTTTCGTTACCATATATGGTATTG